CGATTCTAACCGCAGGTTGCCCTTGCAGCGTGAGCGGTAGGCCCGGACGGTCCTCTATCGAGACGAGGACGCGCTATGCTAACCCACATACGATTCATATGCAGCATTCCACTCAATGCACTGTAAGTAGAGAAAGTAGAAGCTACTGATGCCAAGGATCTCATTGCTTTGTCGAGCATACTGGAAAGTTTAGTATATAATGTAATATAATAACTGATTGCTTGTTGTCACGCGCTATACTTACTGACTACTTAATTGGTTATACTTATTGGCTTGATACTTTATTGTCTAGCTGGTTCTATGGAATAATACCATGAACTGAGGCCTACTATCATAAAAATTTTATAATACTTGTTTAAAAAATATGCGCGCCTTACGGTTAAAATTTCCCCTTATGAGTGAGACTATATATATAACATATATATCAGAAGAGATTAATACTGGCTTATCTAACTTCTATATATTATATATCATATATATATATATGATATAATATACTATTAAATTATGTATAACACCTTTATGAAGTCGTACAGTCCTGAGAGGATCATGAAGCTGGCACAAGTACGTCGAACAAGAAAGTGCTTCACTTCATAGGCAGGACAGCCACTATCTGGCGTGGCACGTCCCGGTACCTGCCCGGATAAGCGGCCAGTTGTCAATGGCGAGCCGTCCAAGGCAGGACAAGATGGCCGATGGTTGCGCTGGGGCATTGCTGCAGCTGTATGTGGCAGTCTCAAAGGCGACGCAGGCGCCAAAATGAGTAGCCACTGCTAGATGGACGCTCTTCCCATCGATAGTGGTCGCCAAGTGATTTTCTGAAAGAAGAGAGAGAAGAGAGAAGGAAGAGGAGATTAGTGAATATAGAGAGGAGACAACACTGGAGCAAAGCGAGAAGCGGGGATCAGAATTGGTCGCAGGTGGTCTGCTTCATGGACGAGCAGCATACTGTATTGTAACATGGTTTAATTCACTTGTATCCTCACGGCATCTATCAGAGACTCAATACAGGCCATTTAAACCAATCGCAGACTTATTGGTATGTAAAAGGATGACCAGATTTTGCAGACTTGTGAGTGGTGCTTCTGCCGGTGCACTGTAGTCCATACACCGGACCTGAATTGCTACGCCAAATCTTGCAGGCTCGGCTGCAACGGCCATCTAATGGCATGTACAATGAAGTAAGCGTGTGCCCTTCTTCAGCACTGCTTCAGGTAAAAATAGCACACGTAATCAATTAAGCGAAGTCATCAATACAATGTATTGAAAGCGTTAATACTGAGACTAGCTGAACAGATCTCATTGCAAGAGGGTGGTATAAGTTGAAACGTGATCGGCCGTTTTTATACTTCGTGAACTGTGAATTTGCAATTCTTTTGTCTGTGAACTGTGGATGGTACCACCTTGCGTGAAGCGTGATTTAGCTTTTATTTAATCTGTGAACTGTGAATAAGAGGTCTCTTTCCTCGTGAATCTATGCATGTCGTGATATCTATGCATGTCCTCGTGAATTCATGCATTTTCACATTTTCACTGTGAAATGTGAAAAGCAGTTTCTGATTTTCACTGTAAACTGTGACAGTACCGTCCCTTACCCCCCCCCCCCTAATGCAAGGGGAGTGCATGGTTATCCCATTCAGATGAACATGTCAATTATTGCAAACAAGACGTCTGAGGTGTGCACTGGCTAATTAAGCTGCACAATATTGTGAGTGTGTGCTGCACCTACCCCACGATTTTGTGAGCGGGTGCCTGCCCCCTACCTCAGGATATCGTGAGTGCCGCTACTCCTACCTGCCGGATTTTGGAGAGCGTGTGCTGCCACCTACCTCGTGATTTTGAGAGCGTGTGCTGGCACCTACCTCAGGATTTTGAGAGCGTGTGCTGCCACTTACCCACAATTTTACGAACATGTGTTGGCCTACTGCAATTAAGATGTGTGTACGTGTGTTGTCCCTCTACCTTGAGCTGTTGTGTACGTGTGCTGCCCCTACCTTGAGCTTGTTGTGTAACCATGTGCTGGCCCCTACATCAGGATGTGTAACCATGTGCTGCCCCTACCTCAAGATGGTGTAACCATGTGCTGGCCCCTACCTCAGGATGGTGTAACATGTGCTGGCCCCTACCTCAGGATTATGTACCATGTGCTGCACCTACCTCGTTTTAGTTTTACGAAGACACTGCGTTGGAGTCAGCTTATCGAGGTCCAGTGGTATCGTATCAGCGCCTCGACCTCGCACGCTCCTCGCGTGTCTCGATCTCCTCTGCCTGTCTCGCTTGTCCTTGTGGCCTCGCCGCGAGAGATGCGCTCGAGGAGCGCCAATCGTCAGCAGGCGGATGTTCTCCATCGAAAGTGAGAGGTCGAAGTCTCGCTCGAGCGTCTGCCTCACTCGACACCCATTAGGCGAGTCGAGACCAAGCTTCTCCCAGCGTCAGCTCAGGCATTCAGCGTTGGCGACGTCCTTCACTCTGTCGGCCACGAAATTACGCACTTTATTATGACTCATTATAACATATTTAATGTCAATGTTTACGCGTTTTTGTGACAAAACTAAAGGGTAAAGTTTACTCGATTCAAAATGAAAGGGATACTGTGTAATGACGTTTCTTCAACACCACTGTAGTATCAGAGAGTAAATAAGTTGTTGTTGTCATTTATATCAACCAAGAAGTTGTGTATAAGTTTGTTGTGTACATTTTAATAGTTTTTAAACAATAATTACGTAATATAACAAAAAATGTCTACGTGTAATGAGAAATATTAATTTAGTGATACGAGCGATAGCGTACCGAGGATTTGGCGACAGCGTGGATAAGGTCGACCTGTGAGTCCTGGCGTTGACGCGCCACCGCTGCGATGCTTCTCTGCAAGCACAAAGCTGGAGACGAGGGGAACGGCTGGTTGAGCAGCACATCCATCGTCTGCATGCAGGAAGCAATGCGCTGCGGCAGCGTGCCACCTATGACGGCGTCGTTGCCTCCCAGGCTGCGCGCCATCCCCACGTCACCGATCGCTCCCCATTGGATCGCGAGCGCTGCAGACAGAAAAATGTGTCATCACTCCATGCTGCCAGTGTAAACGACGACAACAACGACGACGTGGGTAAAGACAACCACATCAATACGACAACAACAACGATGACAACAATGACAAGCATTACGACGACGACATGGGTAAAGACCACATTAAAACGACAAGAACGACCATAACAACGACAAGCATAACGATGACGACATGGGTAAAGACAACCACATCAAAACGACATCAATGACGATTAACAAAATAACAACAACGAAGATGATGATGACGACAACAAAAACGACAGCTGCAACAACACCAGCAACATTGCAACAACAACAACAACAAACAACAACGACGACAACAAGGATGACAACAATAATGACAGAACATCGACGACAAAAACAACAACAATGATGTCGACAACACAAGTGAACATTGTTCCATTTGAATACCGGGTACACTATCCATATGCCATATATACAGCAACACGTACAGCATGGGCCGGATATATAGATCTGGAATACAGTGTTCTATCCATGCACCTTTCTAAATAGGTACATTAATTCCTGGTATATGGCAAGCACTAAGTAACGTCCCCAAAACGTTAGTGCCTGTATAGAGAGACTCTCACCAGGGAAGCCGTCCCGCTGACGTCTCTCACAGATTCTCTCCATCGTTGAGTTTGCGTAACCGTAGTTCGTCTGCCCAGCGTTGCCACGGCCGCAGCTCGCAGATGAGAACACGACGAACCAGTCCAGCGAGGTGGCGCACGTGTCGCGGGTCACGAGGTCAAGGTTAACTGCGGCCGCCATCTTGGGTTTGTTTACCTCGCTGAAGGTCTCTGCTGTTTGGTTCTCAAACAGTCCATCCCTCAACACCTAAAGCGGACGCGTGTAGTCGAATATGAGTCCACTGTTCCAACATTCAGTGTCAACACATTGCAATCGTTTGGAAGTATATAAGAAGTGAGATCCGATGAACGAATATTATTACTTTGGGGATACGTGCGTTCCTAAATCAGCTGAAAACCTCAGCCAGCCCTTTTGATTACACTTTAATATTATAGGTACTGACTTTTCCGACACCGACCATGTACTATATGTAAGAATTAACAGACATTACGAAACTCCTTAATCTTGATCAAGCACTGATCTATATAACCCGTATATATTTTAGAACACCTTCCTCTCACACGAACAAAGGTGTGTATTCTCACCGCTGCCAAATGAAAGATGCCGCCCAGTGGCGCCACCTGCTGGGTCGTGTCAATCAGTTGTCTCGCCTGTGCCTCCAGGCTGGCATCCATCTTGCTGACCTCTACCTTTACACCCAGATTGCGCCACTCCGCCAATCTGTACTGCTGGTAACCTGTGGTGAGAACAGCTTTCGTGCAGTAGCAGAGATGGTGTCATGTCTTACGCAATATATGCTTGTTAATTGTACCGTAATCTGTTTTGGTTGCTCGATTCATTAGTTGCGTATTGTTGTTTTATTGGTTGTTTTGGGAATCTATTCAGCCAGCTTACGTACGGGGCACTGGGATAACTGATAAAACATGAAAGTAGTATAGGTACTTTGCAAAAATGTTTTTCTGTTCACTTAACTAAGCCTAAGAGTTACACCAGACTAGGGCCACGATCATACGTCAAACACTTAATTGTGTTACGTCCACATGCAGTCTTCGCCAGCTGCGTGTTATATATGTTAGCGTTATTTGCTACATATGTTCTATTATATTTACTGTATTATGTTAGTTGTATTGTTAGTGTAGTATATTTAGGATATATATGACACGCCAGATAGCGCGCACATCACCACGCGAGACATCGGATGTATGGCGTTCATAGTGATTGAATAAACAGCTTTGTTACGGCTACCATATGTCTTGTAATCGTGCTATGTAAGCAGTCCACACCATACATAGCAGCACACACCATACTACATGGTGTCAGAAGTAAACCAAACGTCTACGTCGACATAATTCAAGATGAATTCGCAAGTTCCACATCCCGTGATGGACTGGAACAGTCCGAACGTGAGAGAAGCGTGGAAACGTTTCGAACAGCATACCAAGTTATTGTGTACAGGGCCCCTGTCGACGGAGCCTGAGGATGTCAAGGTATCATATCTACTCATCTGGATCGGTGAGAAGGGACGAGACATACACTCGACGTTTACCTTCCAAGAAGACGAGGAGAGGAAGTTGGCACCGATATATGCCAAATTCACCGAGTACCTAACTCCGAAGTCGAACACTGTGATGTCACGCTATTTGTTCCACCGTCGAGTACAGCAGCCAGCAGAGCCAGTCGACCAGTTTGTCACGGATTTGCGAAAGCTCATGATGGACTGTGCGTACCCTCAATCAATACAGAATGACCTGATCCGTGACCGCTTAGTGTTTGGAGTGTCATCAGATAAAGTGCGTGAAAGACTTATCAACACTGGAAATAGTCTAACGCTAGACAAAGCCGTCGACATTGCCCGAACCCAGGAAGCTACATCACAGCAACTGAGTACCATGGCAGCGAGTGTTGCAGCTGTCCATAAGGTAAACAAACCCAAGGGTAGGAGTTATGCACCAAGTTACCGTAAACAGTCTACACCAGTGTCTTCAACCCAGCTAGGTAAGCCATGTCACAATGATGTGTCGGATGCGGGTGGGCAGATGGAACGTGCGTGTGTACATGCTCGTCAATATCTGCTGCATCATGTTGTCAACGAATTGCACCCAGTTACCCGTCCATGCGACCTTCGCATCTGAAACTGAAGAAAAACAAGTCCACCGTGCAGCAAGTACGAGACATAAACATGTGGGGTTCAATTACTTAGCTTCATCATGGTTGTTTCATACTTATAGTTGTACTTTATAAGAAGTTACTATACTTAATTATACGTGCGTCTGAAGCCATCATATTTCGTTCCCGGACGCCCACCCTCCTAGATTGTAACGGCCCGCCCCATAGCTGCGTGAACCCATAAAGCAAAGCACGTCGGCACGTACGATCGAGAGACGCCGCGACGATTGCCTGGAACTCGCCGCTGTAGTCGTAGCCGCGCATGCGCATCTCCTTGTACACGTCATCGGCACATAGCGGCAGCGGCTCGCCGTGACCTTTCAACTTCAGCGGCTCGGGTATGTCGAGACTCGCGTGCGCCGTGATGCGCCCCCTGGCGACGAGCGTCTTGCCTTCCGTCACCTGAAAGTCGCCCGTCGCCTGCATGATGTTGACAGCTATCGTCACCTTGCCTGGTGGGAGAGAGAGAGAGAGAGAGAGGTGGGTTAGATGGAAGACGGTGATGTCCTTCACCTTGTGAAGAGGGTATTTCGCACCATTACCATGCGATTATTGGAAGGGCAATGTAGCTTTATGTCAATTACCTTGATTTTAATAGATATTCAACGCATTACAATACAGCATCTTGCTAGCAGATTTAATCTCTATAACTGCCGAAGATACAGGTCAATTGAACTACTCTGTCCAATTGCTAATGCAATGGTTACTGCATCATAATAAGCAACTGTCTCCTCTTTGAAACTGAAAGTTGTTAGTTGTACAGAAAAAGGGACTTGGGCGACGTCCATGCGTTTTAAGGGCATGAAACGTTGTACCGACACTTAGGTCATGCACATAGGCACATCCAACCTAAATTTACCTACTACAACCTAAATTTTAACAAAGCTCAGATATAATATCAGGAAACCTGTTGTGATTCCTGTTCTAGATAGCCACTGTGGAGGGCCACCACAGGATCATCACAGGCATGCCACTAAGTGCAGACGTGTTCCTACGTTTCCTACGGTGTGTAGTAAATGGTAGAGATAGTACAGATGGACAGAGAGCTTGTTTGTTTAGTTTATGCGCAAGATCACACTGTTACTGTATCACTGTAAACCCAGAAGCATTTCTGCCCTTCTCTACAAGAAACTACAATTGTTATTCCACCCATCAAAACATGTTACTAAAAGGCACAACCTCTATATAAACACCAGGGCCGTAGGCTGAGCAAATTCCTAGAGGGGGGCAGTGGCGGCTCCAGGATTTCAAGGAGGGGGTGATAAACAGGCAGAGGTTCTAGGGGTCCTCCCACAGAAAATTTAGAAAATATAGATCGCAGGAAATGGTATTTGAGGCCTTCATTCTGACTACGACAATTCTCTTTTAGTAAAACATTTTTTGTTGCTCCAAAATCTAGCGGGGGCAGCTTCCCCTTGCCCCCCCCCCTGCAGGCTATATATGGCTATATGAACACAAATAAGGAAAAGTGCAGTACTGAATGACAAAAGTGACTGCTACCCACACATACACATGGATACACAGGCACACATGAATGCACGCCCACACCTACCCACACGCACACACACACACACACACACACACACACACACACACACACACACACACAATAGGAGGATGCCGTGAAAGGCGACGTTACGTAGAAAGACTGCCATGCCTAGCGGCGTGTTGCTCGACAGGTCGTACTTGCCGATCTCAAGGAAGCGGCCATGTTGCGCGAGGAGACGCACGCTCGCCTGTAGCTTGTCATCTGCCAGCGAGTTGAGCACGACGTTCACACCTGCAAGAGACACGGAGGGCGTCGGTGATTTGATCTGTTTAAATTTGTTTTAGTTATTGAGTTTATTTAGTTATTGATTATAAATTATTCATAGTTTATATATTATTTGTTACATTTATTCGTTTGTTTATCAATGCATATGTTGTACTGCGAAAGTGATGACTTCGGGTTGAGAGTCGGTAGAAAGTAGCAGCGTAGTCGTGTGATAACTAGTAGAAAGATGATCCGTCGTAGCAGGTTGTTATTGAAGTATGACTTTATTAGTAACTACGATCACATACAACATATATACATACATACGGCAACCAAACTAGGTCCCGTCATTTCTGTTTCCGTCGCTACATCTTGGGTAGGTAACCCCTCTTGGGTAGGTCCGTCGTAACTCGGTGCCTGACTTCCGTCTCCCCGAGCGTCTATTTATACGCTTCTTAAAAGCGTCCGGACGCCCCACAATGCAAACCAGTTTCTCCCCGCAGCTTCTACTATTAGTGACATATTAACGCGAACGTTTGCGTTTGCTGCCAATACACCGATAGCACAGATATATACCGATACTACTCTAGTATCTATAACATAACATATCTATAGCTATCTATAGTGTATATAATTATGTTCATTATGACATGTAACGTATAAACGCGACCATGTCAATAAGTTTTACTAACGACGGGATTTTTTCAAATATGGCAGCATAACGTGGAGTTAAGCCCTACAGGTAGACATATGTCTTGGATAGATGAAGAATTCCCCCAGCAACCCTAATCCATCCCTACTCGCCCACATCATCTACATAACAATAGGTGTGAGAGAGAGAGAGAGAGAGTGTGAGTGACTGCTGTTACCCTTTCCCTTAGTGGCGATCAGGATCTCTTGCTCGAAGCTAGCGTCGCGTGAGTTGCTGAAGTGTTTGTCCTGCAGCTGTGGGAACTTGTGCTTCAGATAGTTTCTCTTCTCGTGCGAGCCGACGGTTGTAAACACCTCGCATCCACGGTGCAGCGCCACCGAAATGGCCGCCTGCCCCACACCCCCACTGCCAGAGTGTATCAGCACCCTGTGGTAGCAGGGTAGAATTAGCACAGCACCCATCTTAAACATCTCCAGTGAGCTACCATCTTATAAATCCCTGCTGATTAGCAATCTGTGAAAAACTCGTTGATAATCAGTCATCTATATGTAACTTTAGTGATCAGTCACCTTTAAACAACTTGGTTATCACCCATCTTTATATTTCTAGGTAATTGACCAGCTATTAGAGTTGAGAAATGAATTTCCTGCACTTCCACACCTATTATCCCATCAGGATGCATACCGTTCTCCTTTTCTCAGCCTGCCCCTCACTATAAGAGCATAGTAGGCTGTCGCGTAGACCACAGGCACGGTAGCGCCTTCTCTCAGCGTCCACGACTCAGGCACAGGCCACGTGAATTTGATATCAGCGTCGACGGTCGTCGCCAGACCTTTAGCTGGCATCAATCCCATGATCCTCCTTCCATCGCTGCTGTGACCAGAGAACTCCATGCCGAGGATACAGTCATGCAGCGCCATGTTACCTATAACAACAGTATAGCGACATCTGACGATCACGACACTGAGAGTTTAATCACTGTGTCAGAGAACGAAGGAGGCTAAGGAATATAGAAGCAGAAAGGGCAATAATGGTGTCATTGACTTCCGGTGAATATCTGGATGCATCTGACAAAACCCCAACCGTACATCCTACCCCGGGGTACTGCCGGAACGTACCCTGGGTACGGTCCGGTATACCGGAACGTACCCTGGTACTATCTAATATGCCGGACCGTACTTCGCCTACTCCACTAACGAGTCTAGGGAGTCGCCTACGCCTGCTCCCTAACCCGAACCCTAACCCTAACACTAACCCTAACCCTAATCCTAACCCTAACCATATCAAATAGTTACCAGGGTACGTTCCGGCAGTACCCTGGGGGACATAGACCCTATGAGCGTCACTACTCACGTGTGTGTAAATCTAAGACGAAAAGACATTCGATGAGGCAGAACCTGGTCTAGATCCCGATCAGTTCAACATAGACAGTGTCCACAGTGTTGATGGTATCAACAAGGCAGTCGCAGATCTCTCGACCCCATCAGGTCACGTGATTTCAGTCAAAGTTGACACTGGAGCTGAGGCCAACGTATTGCCTGTAGCTATACAGCAATTTCTTGGCTGTAAACTACAGCAGTGTGAGGAACGACTGTACAGCTACTCTGGGCACCGACTGGAAACACTGGGTACGTGTGTAATTTCATGTACACATAAGGAGATTACCTTACCAGTGAAGTTTTTAGTTGTTAAAACTTCATCACCCCCTGTTCTTGGTCTGATGTCATGCCTGGACTTCGGCCTCGTAAAACTTGTGCTGTCTGTCACCGAGCCATCCCGGACATCTACCGCACAGTTGGCATCTCCAGCAACACAGAAAGTACATCAGCACGTTACGCCATCCTCCACACAGGCTGTAGTAGACCAGTTCAGTGATGTGTTTAAGGGAATTGGTTCGTTCGAGGGCTCTTTCGCCATCAACAAGGAAGTGTTCCCCGTGATCCACCCACCGCGCCGTATCCCTTTCTCGTGCCAAGAGAAAGTCAAGCAGGAGCTCGACCGCATGGTGGATATGAACATCATCGCCAAAGTCACTGAGCCCACCAAATGGGTAAACTCTATGGTAGTAGTCGAGAGAAAGTAAGGAGCTATTAGGATCTGCCTAGACCCTAAGGACCTCAATGCTGCCATTCGTCGTCCTCATTATCCTGCCAAGTCATTCGACGACATCGTTGGAAGATTAGCCGGTTCGCGCTACTTCTGTGTCCTTGATGCACGCTCAGGGTACTGGCCATTCCTGTACTGTACCTGTCGCTGACACGTTGTCTCGTCATCCTGTTGACCCGCCGTCTAAGGATGATATGGAGTCAGTCGCTCGGGTGCACTCTGTGTTTGAGTCCGTTCGCGTCACCCCACACAGACTTGACGAGATCAGGTCTGCCACAGAGCAAGACCAGGTCATGCGCATACTCGTGGACACAATAATCAACGGATGGCCGGAGAATCGTGTGTCTTGCCCTAAAGATATACTGGATCACTGGAACCATAGGGACCAACTTTCTGTGATTGATGGTATCGTGTTCAAGTCTCACAGAATTGTGATCCCAGAAAAGCTCCGATCATCTATGTTGGCATGTTTGCACACAGGCCACATGAGCATGGAGAAGTGCAAGCAGCGAGCAAAAGACACTGTATTCTGGCCATCTATTAACAAGGACATCGAGAATTGTGTTAGCCAGTGCTCAGTCTGCCAAGCACACAGGTCGTCACCTGCGCATGAGCGACTAATGAGTCATCCCATTCCCGATCACCCATGGCAGCGGATCGGCAGTGACATTTTCACTTTGAATAGTGAAGACTACCTTATCACGGTAGATTACCTCTCTAGATTTGTTGAGTTAGACAGATTGAGAGATACACGATCGTCAGCAGTATTACACAAGCTCAAGTCTCACTTTGCCCGTCACGGTATTCCAGATACCCTGATAACAGACAATGGTCCACAGTTTTCATCAGTAGAGTTTGCTCGATTCACAGAAGCCTGGGGATTCGAGAATATCACTTCCAGCCCTGCATATCCTCGCTCGAACGGGTTGACAGAGAAAACT